AAGCTCAAATGCAATTTTGACTTGAGTTGCAGTTCTTGAATAGAAAACAAAGCGAGGATTAAACACCCGTTTAATTAGGTAAAAGCGAAGGAAAAGCACTGGCGTAATTGAACAGAACGCAATCAAAGGGGGCTCTAATCTCGTAAGGCCAATGATTTGTTGCGCATATATCAAAATCACACACGTGAGGAGATTTCGAAAATGATTAAGTTTATGGACTCTTCTGCGTTCTAGGGAACATACATGTCGGGAAGTAGCTAGCTTGTATCACAACCAAAAGAGATACGATCTTCTTCTTTCTTCAAAGGAGACCTCGGAGGAGTGCTATTAGTATTGAATCTTTAGCCCACTTATTGGCCATAAGTCCTTTGAAAGGGCTTGGGGTCAATCGGCCGTGTTTTTAACCAGATAAACCAAAATTTAGGTCAGTTAGTCGGTTCCTAGGGACTCAAAATCTTTTAAGACATATAGGACAAGATCAATTATTTTTATCAAAAACTTGCGTTCTTAAGCCGATTGAGGTGAATGATAGAACTCCTAGAGTCTCGATTTTCTTTCAGTCTCACTTCGTGACTTTACTCAAAAGCTTCCACGGATAAATCTAGAATGATGGAAACCATCCAACTCCGCAGTACAATAAACGCATACCTCAGGCGATCTACATAAGCAGTAGAAAATGATATCCTGCGTTTATCCAATTTCCGTTTGCAAATTTCATGGAATTTAAAGAAGCTACCATTCAAATCTTTCTTTGCCTACGCGAGCTAAATTCCCTTATTTCCCATTCCTTTGTCACGTTTCGCGTCACAGTTGCTCAATAAATATTTGAATTGCTACGCGATGATCTTTGTTTACAAGCTTTTCTCCTGCTTGCATCTGATCACAAACCCTAAAGTTTTCTGCCTCAAAACGATATACCTCGTATTCACGCTATCTCAGTTTGAATGAAAACGTAAATTTTCCTTCTGTGATATCTTAAGATAACTAAGAACAAACTTCACAGTAAACTTTCCGTAAAGGTAAATATTGATATGGTGCTTGCAATTAGAAGAATGAGAGGAAGTCAACGAACTCGAGCGACGGAAAATTGTCAAAACACTCGGTTTCTGAGAACACGCTCGTTCAAATTTCTCGGAATAGCTCGCGTCACAATTAGTATTTATTAACAAAACTCCATGCAATTTCCCAAAGTGGAGGTTATGTTACCGAAAATAGTATTTGTAATGATTTGCGCTGATCTTTAGTCCGGTAGCTTGAAATAGGTTACTGCCTGACTTAGACAAATAAAAGTGCGAGGCAGTCTGTGTTAAGGCAGTCCATGCTCCTTTATACTCTTTTTTGTGTCAGTTCTGTTGTAAAGACTATATCAGTTTCGCATTCTAGAAATAACTAATACACCGAATGCAAATATGGCGTCCAATTTGAGTTGCCATTGTTCTGGACTCACTAGCCTCT